ATTTAATATAGTATTAACTTATTAACCATTCGTTGAATGACGCGATCCTTAGGCTTAAATTTGTTAGCGTAGAGATTTCGACATTAATTACGTTCACTTAATGAGTAATTTTTGTTTGATTACCTCTTTATAAAATTATATATAATGCATCCTTTGATAAATATATATATATATATATATATATAATATTAGTGGTTATTGTATATATATATATATATATATATATATATATATATATATATATATATATATATATATAAATTCACAATAGGATAGAATCCAGTTAGAACAGAGTAAGAATATAATATAAAAGGCCCAAACATTAATATTCCAAGGTTATAATTTATTACATTGGAATAGTAATCACAATTCTATTTAACAGACCTACAAATTCAAACACTCTTCTTTTTTGTTCGTGATTTCGATTCCAATGTAATAAATTATAACCATGGAATATTAGTGTTTGGGCCTTTATATATATATATATATATATATATATATATGTGTGTGTGTGTGTGTGTGTGTGTGTGTACTGTGTTTGTGTAAAATTTCATTATTCTACTGTCAGTATGTCTTCTAAAGTGATTTCCTTTCGTGCCTTGAGAAGATTTCGCTATTCAAGATATTTATATTCATCCTCACGTACGACAAGTTCCCGATGGACAACGTCTATTCGCAAACGCGGAATTTTTGACAGAAACTCATCCTTGCAAATGAAAATGATGAATATTATAGCCTTAATAAAATAAAAGTAAAAGATACAAAACAAACTGAAAAAATGTGGCTGGCTGAAGGACGGTGGTACTAAATATGTTAGAAATAGAACTATATCGTTTTTAAAAAATGAACTTATATCATTTAAATATTTAAATGTTTATCATTTAAATATTTAAATTTACATAATGTTAAAATATAAATTGATAAGATTTAATTCAACAAGCAACTTTCTGCGCAACCAACAGCAATAAAATCGAGGTTCCAATTACTAAAATGTAGGCTATGGGTAAATTTTGGTGGGCTCCATAAGCCTATACATCTTGTGGGGGTCATGTCGCTATACGATCGCAAGACAAGTTTGAAATTTGACCAATTACAGAGAAATTCTGAGCCCATATGGACATCAGAGTATATCCTAATGCCAACACATTAGCTACATCAACATATTTTTGGTTTTATCACTAAAACGGCTTTCAGAGTCTGTCAAGGGCACATGGCAAAGGCGTTGGTTAGATCCAGTGACAAAACCCAAAGAGTGTGAGTTCAATACCCGGTTAAGGCAGTGGAGAACTTTCATTAACAGGAGATAACTGATAACTGTCATCCATCAAAGATGGCACGTGGAACTAGAAAAGTCTACCCCAGTGAGCGAAATAAAGGGTTCAGTTCGACATTCCAACCACCTGAAGAAGGCCGGAGCGTAGAACGGCCGAAACGTTGTGATAAATATGGCGACAAAGATGAGGACAATAGTCCAAATGATGTAAATAATGTAAAATGGCTTTATTCTAAAGGCAAACACATAAGAAATAACGCACCGGTTTTGTTGAAAAATTCACTCATTAAAAAGTTGCTTTAGGAGTCATTCTGGAATTAGAAACACTGAAGCTTAAATTACATTATTTTCATAGCAGATCCTGCGGCCGGGCAGCGTGTATTTGGAATCAGCGGACATGGGACCAGCAATAACTGAGCAGTACTAAATTAAGACGAAGTATCCCTAGACGGGTTATACCTAGATATCCGAAGTGGAACGAGAACAGTCTACCCCAGTTGATTAAATAAAGTGTTCTGTTCAGAATTCCCTGTAGTTAATACTGAGCAATATTTACCTGAACGAGGCAGGGTAGCAAAAACATTTTTTAATCGATTTCACTCCATGCAAGGCAGTAAAGCCACTAAAATCGAAGGAGTGCCTGAGTGTTGAAGAACTAGAAGCAAAAACATTACTAATGAGTGGGAACAAAAAGAGTAATCGAGAGAACAATAGATAGCGATTGATATTGCATTTAAATTTTTGTAGATTAAAGTTTGCTGGAAAGAATGGAGCCGGAAAGGTGTCCTACAAGCAAAAAGTGCGAGGAAATTATCTATTGGTTCAGAATTTATTGTTACATCTAGCCATTTCAACTGTAAAATGGTGAGACCTTTCCGCCATTCTGGTACTAAGCTTAAATTCATAAAGTCTGGGTACCATAGGGGAACGTACATAGAGAACAATAACGATGAAAGTATTTATAGAAAAAGCACAGGAAAGCTAGTTTACGGCGATGAGAATGTGACTGAAGCCGAGAGGCCAGGTTAACACTAATAACATTGTGGGTTATTTTTTGGGATTTTATGGACGGGTGGGATAGACCCTAAACTTAATTTGACCAACATAGTAATTTCAGGAAAGTATCCTCTTGAGAAAAATGGATTTCTTCTCATGGAACCGGAACTTTGATTTACACATATTTTAAACATTCAAAATTATTAGAATGTTTAAAAAATAAGTAGATTTATAAAAAAATAAATTTAAAGCGATTGTCAGTAATTCAGATTAAACTTAAATGTTCAAAACGAAAAACAAATCAACATTTAGACATTTTCGCCGAAAAAAGTATTTATTAAATAATAAATGAAATATTAAAGATAGATAACTAAAGTTCTAAACGCAGCTGATTCTTCGAAGGCATTTTAATTCTTTGCAGTTGTTTGGTTGTTTTAGGTCTTTCTCTTGCAAGAAATTATCGAAATTCTTTCAAAAGTGGTAGTCGGTTGTTGAAACAAGTTATTTTACCGAATGATGCAAACATTTGTAGCCAAAATTTATTCAACTTCTGAAGTGTTAAGCATTGTCATTGGATTGGATTTTCTACTGACTAATGCTAGATTCATTAACTTTAATTTCTTCTACAAAGTTCTAGGGAAGAAGTGAAGTGTAATTTGCTTCTTATCAAATGAACACGAAGAGAATGGGAATGGATCGTCACCGTGAACATTGTATGGCGGATCCTAGATGTAAAGGGCTGAACTGGTGGAACTAAGGGATATAACTTGTCCGAATATCTGCCATAGCTATCGCCATAGAGTAGTGTAAGCTTGACAACATTTCCTCTGTCGGACATTGGGTGTAGAGTGGCGAATAATTAATCACCGACAAGGCCGCTTTTTGAACTCGTCGACGCTGGGCAGTGGGGATTGGCTAGCACCAGCCTAAATATGACAGCAACGCCCCATTCTTGGTCTATCTGATTCGACTCTCACTCATCTAAACAATTACCATGAAAATATTTATACAAAAGGCACAGGTAGGTAACATTACAGCGGTGTGTAAGTAAGTGAAGGCGAGAGACCAGATCAGGACCAATAATATTGCTGATTGGTCTTCGGACTTTACATGGGGATAAAGATCCGCTGGTAAATATAGTAAATAAGGATAATTCCCCATTCTAGAATTTCAGATAGAATCTGAGTATGTCTTTTATTGTCTGAAATTAATAGATATTATTTTTTTTATTTTAAGAATTTTAAATTGCTTAGGTTAATGACTTTTTTTTATTAATTTTTTTCGCAATGTCACTGCCAACTAATCGATATTAATAAGTGAAAAAATTATCTTCAGACAACTTATAAGCGTGAAACCTGTATCCGTTTGTATTCGTCTAACATGGATGCCACGTAACGGACAACCTAAAGCCATCTTTGAAATTACTCCTAGTTCGGAATCAAAAAAAAAATGTCATGCAAAAGAAAATCCTAGAAAAGAAGAAGTGAATAAAAAAACAGAGAATGTCCTCTCTGAATTTATCAGGTGAAACATTTTCATTATATATAAAAAAAAAACACTCTTCACTTTAGCTTTATTATATTTTGAAAATGTTCAACTCGATTCTTTTATTCAACGTTCGTTAAATAATTGCCATTAATCATCAAAGAAATATTGTCATCTGACGAGATTTGATCTCGCAACCTGTGTCTTTTGGCTGTTCATCTCACATGGAAGACATCCAATCAACAACGTAATGTCATTATTGTCGCGACTCCTAGAAAACAAACAATACAATATGAAGAAAAAAAATGAATATAACAAAGTAAGCAAGAACCGAAAAATATCAGATGAAATCTAATCTGAATTTATTAGGTGAAATATTTTAATTTACCTTATTTTTCATTTTAGCTTTATTACATTTTCTGCAAGGCCATGATCGATGTTTTTATTCAAAGGCTTTATGGGCATTAGACTTCAAACTAGTTTTGAATTCACATTCTGTATCTTTTGAAAGAACCTCACCTAAACTACATCATAAGAACATCGTTTTTTCTAAATTAATTCTCCCAAAGGCAGGCAAAAAAACTAGGTGTTACTGAGGGTGAAAGAATATGAGAAAAAGAAAAACATTATTAGCAAGATGGAGAGTTTGTAATTTTATGCTTCTTTTTCTTCTTGAAACAAACAGTATAACATGGAATTAAAACGGATGATAAAAAGTGCGGGTCTAGAATTAAATTTTAATTTCGTCTACAGATGATCTTCGATGACCAAATTGGTAAAACGCCGTCCATATCATGAATACAAGATCCGTGTTTAAATTCCCTTTATTTCTGATTCATCCTGCTGACTGGACAGTGGGAGAGTATAAAATGACAAAAGCGTTTTTGTCAGAAAAAAAAATGGACATAATAAAACGCATTATAAACAAAATAAAAAGAAAAAAATGGAAATAAGAGAGTAACATTGGCATGGCGGTTTAAACAAAATGAAAATAATTATATTAAAAAGTGTAAACAGGTGAAAGACTAAAAAAAGAAAGAAAAAGGGAAAAGAACCTGCCAACTTTCGAAATGAAAGTTTGCAGACGATATATACAGAAAGCTAAAATATCTGCTGCTGCGAAGTTGTGAATACAATTAGACGAAATGTTTCAGGAGAGTAAGGCCGGAAGTGATAAGGAAATGGCTGGGGCAGCAAGTCATGATGGGAAGAGTGCATAGCATTAAAAGATGGATGCATTTCTTACCGTGCTGTAGCCAACCGTAGCACCCTTTCTATTGGCAGGTGACACTAAGTGAAGAATGAATGGGTTTATTTGAAAGGAGAGAAGAGTTAAAAAGAAGGACGATGGTGGCAATGAGTGTAGGATGAAGGTAAAAGGGCGCGAGTGTGGATGGCTGGCAATGAAGTGGATGAAATGAAGATGAATGGGAAGGTAAGAAATGATAAAAAAAGGAGAAGAGAGATTAGAAGAAAAAACTCACGAAGAATTACAAAGAAAGGATATTAAAAGGGAATAAATAAAGATTTTGAGAGAACTGATGTAAAATATATAAGATTTCAACGTGAAAGAAAAAAAGTATGGAAAAGAAGCAAAGAAGAGAAAAGAAAAAGAAGAAAAACTAGAGAAACAAGAAGAGCATTAACAAACGGAAATGAATAAAAATAGAAAGAATGGATAGAGACTGAAGGGGATATGAAGAAAAAAGAGTCCAAAGAAAGAAAGAAAGAAAGAAAGAAAGAAAGAAAGAAAGAAAGAAAAAAGAAAGAAAGAAAGAAAGAATAGATGGAGAATGAAGGAAATATGAAGAAAAAAAGAGCCCAAAGAAAGAAAGAAAGAAAGAAAGAAAGAAAGAAAGAAAGAAAGAAAGAAAGGGTGGATAGAGAATGAAGGAAATATGAAGAAAAAGTGCCAAAGAAAGAAAAAAAAAGAACGAAAGAAAAGAAGAAAGATAGAATGGAGAGAGAATGAATAAGATATGAATAAAAAAGAACCAAAAAAAAGAAAGAAAGAAAGAGTGGATAGAGAATGAAGAAAATATGAAGAAAAAGTGTGAACGAACAAATAAAAAAAGAAAGAAACAAAATGAGGAAGAAAGAAAGAATGAAAAAGTAAGAAATAAAGAAAGAGTGGATAGAGAATGAAGGAAATATGAAGAAAAAATGCCAAAGAAAGAAAAAAGAACGAAAGAAAAGAAGAAAGATAGAATAGAGAGAATGAATAAGATATGAATAAAAAAAGAGCCAAAAGAAAGAAAGAAAGAAAGAAAGAAAGAAAGAGTGGATAGAGAATAAAGAAAATATGAAGAAAAAGTGTCAATGAACAAAGAAAGAAAGAAAGAAGCAAAATAAGGAAGAAAGAAAGAACGAAAAAGTAAGAAATAAAGAAAGAGTGGATAGAGAATTAAGGAAATACGGAAAAAAAGTGCCAAAGAAAGAAAACAAGAACAAAAGATAGAATGGAGAGAGAATGAATAAGATATGAATAAAACCGAGCCTAAAGAAAGAAAGAAAGAAAGAAAGAAAGAAAGAAAGAAAGAAAGAGGGGATAGAGAATGAAGAAAATATGAAGAAAACGTGTCAACGAACAAATAACAAAAGAAAGAAACAAAATAAGAAAGAAGGAAAGAACGAAAAAAGTAAGAAATAAAGAAAGAGTGGATAGAGAATGAAGAAAATATGGAAAGAAAGTGCCAAAGAAAGAAAAAAGAGAGAAAGAAAAGAAGAAAGAACGAATGGACAGAGAATGAAGATGATAAGTATAAAAAAGAGTTCAAAGAAAGAAAGAAAGAAAGAAAGAAAGAAAGAAAGAAAATGAATGAAATAAGAAGATGCAGATTCGAAAGAAAGTAAGAAAAAATGAAAGAAGGAAAAGGAAGGAAATATGAAGGAAACATAGTCCGAAGAAAAAAAGAAAGAAAGTTGAAAGAAAGCTAATTATGAAGAATTAAAAGGATATTTTAAAAGTCATGAAAACAGAAGAAAAGAAGAAAGCGAAGGAAATCGGGAAAGAGTTAAAATGTGAAATGAGAGCGAACAAAGAAAATATTTATTCTAGCAAAAGACACAAAAGAAAGAAAGAAGGTCGAAAAGAGATGAGAGCCTCAAATTTCAAAGAAAGAAAGAAGTTAGGAAAGTAAGACAAAAAATGAAGAAACGCAAAATTTAAAAAAACGAGAGAAAATGAACAGAAAAAAAGAGATTAAAGCAACAAAAGCGAGAAAGAAAGAAATAAAGAAAGAAATCTAAAAAAGAATCTATGAAATATTTAAAAGATTCTAAAAAGCACAAATGAAATGCGTAAGTATCGAAATATTTCAAATAAACAGTGGAAAGAAAGAAAGAAAGAAAGAAAGAAAGAAAGAAAGAAAGAAAGAAAGAATGGAAAGAGAATTGATGATATATGAAGAAAAAGAGTTCAAAGAAAGAAAGAAAGAAAGAAAGAAAGAAAGAAAGAAAGAAAGAATAATAATAATAATAATGGACAGAGAATGAAGGAAATTTTGATGAAAAAAAGTACGGAGAAAGAAAGAAAGAATGGACAGAGAATGAATGAAATATAAAGGGAAAAGTGTCCAAAGAAAGAAAGAAAGAAAGAAAGAAAAAGAAAGAAAGAAAAAAGTACAGAGAATTAAAAAATATATTTAAAAGAAAAAAATATAAATGAATGAAAGAGAAATAAAAGGAAATGATGGAAAATAAAAGAAATTTTTAAAGAAAATATGAAAAGAAGGATAAAACAGAGAATGAGTAGAATATTGAAAATAACGAAAAAAGAAAGAAAGAAGGAAAGAAGAAATAATGAAAGAAAAGTGAAAGAGATGGATAAGAATTTTTTAAAAAATATTATGCGTGTTTCAGCGAATTACATCCTAGAATTCCTGAGAAAGACAGGAAAGTTGCGATGCTTCCATGTCTAATGGAACTTGGTTGAGCAAAGAATTGAAAATCGACGAGGATTCGATTGAGGGGATGAGGCAGGTAGCTGGGAGAGAAGTGAAAGCAAATCCGTTTGCTTTTAATGTCGAATCTAGTAAAGGAAATTATACCATTGACATGGAAAGAGACCTGATGCTCAGTTCTGCTGGCTTGAGTGTTCGGTCCTACCCAGCTTTCAACTTCGACACATGAACATCGGAAAGCATATGTCTTTCTCCCGGAAATGTTAAAAAAAAGGCTATTTAATAAACTGTTAGTCGTGTTTGATTATATTTAGTTTATCAAAAATGACATCCCTAACCCCCAAAAATGTTTCATTGTATAAAAACCTGTTGTGCATGAAATTAAAGATAAAGGTCTCTGAAATATGTACCTTAATAAATATACTTAGCAATAGGAAACAATGATTCTTCTTCTTCTATGTATCTTGTCCCTTCAAGACGTTTGCGATCATGGCTCTCTACAGCGTTGCTTCCCTTGTAGATCTTCGCAAATTTTCTCCCTTTGCATAGTCTCACATCTCCATTTCCGCAATCAGTTCACAAAAGCCGCTGCTTTACAGTGTCTCTTTTGCTTTAGATATTTCCTGTGAGCGTCAAATTCCCTAAGTTCTCCTTCTTCATAATGTGTCCAAAAAATGACTTCTCTTTCTGTATGTGTCATTTTTATCGCCATTTTTCCTTGAGAGTTCTTCGTTTTCTTACGCACTCCGTCCATGACATCCCTCTGAAACGCCATATCTCTTTCGACGCCATTTTTATTTTCATCTGTCTAGAAAACTACATGCAAGCACAGACGTATATTGATATTACAAAAAAAACATTAGAACTATTTTCTTTGTTTCTATTGAAATTCTCAAGTTTAGTATTTGACTTAGCATTTGAAATGCATGTTCCGCTCATCCAATACAGTTGTAAGGATAAAGAAGACGATTATTATACTCCCAATAAAAACGAAATGAGGTAGTTTTTTTCCAAGTAGCGGGGAAAAGAATTCTTAACGATTTCAAATAATTACCTTCATTTTTTAATTTTATTTTAACATAGATAAATCAGCTACTCTGAGTAAGTGAATGACAATATAATTTGCAATTATCGATGATTAATACTTTTTACGGTTTACCAACATTTTACAAGTTATTTAAAGCCAAAAAATATTTACCTCGTAAGAATTTATTTTGCAGATAATAACATTTTTTACTATTTCTAGTAGTACTAATTAACCCAGAAGTTTGGGTGGGGGGATAATGTGGTGTCATACCCTTTCCCATAAGTGAATATAACGAACCCAACTGGAATTGGAACTCGGTTCTAGGATTCCAAACACCGAGTCGCATATATTACACCACCCTCACATATAAGTTTACAGCACCTTATAATCTGAAATACGCACCCAGCTAAGTGTCCCTTGATTTTCAAGAACCGGTGTTTCAACTTGATATGGAATGTGAATCTTGGAAAGACCCTTGAGTCGGCTTGAAGTAGACATTGTTCGTATTTAGTATCTTTACCGGGTACCTGAAAGTTTTTAGGCTCGGTCACTTTCCGCCCATCATATAGCTACAAACTCCAGATATTCTTAAAAATCCATCACTGCTGTAGCACTGGTTTTGTTTGTAAATAATTTACACTAACAAAACCATTGTTTACATTTTCAAGTATTTTAAAACTTTTTTTTATGTTTATACATTCTTTTTATAGATACAAATATTTAAGTAAATGCTCTGTTATATAATAAACAGTATTAAACAACATTTACCGGCAGGAATAACCGAGAAATTTTCATAGAAAATATTCGTCCTCCGACAGGATTCGAACCTGTATCTTATACGGAACCGACATATAGCCTGACGTGCCTTAACCGATTGATTTTACTGCATTTAAACTATCAGGTCATCCCATAAGTTCTGTCCGAATTTTAACTTTTTGTTAAATTGAACGAAATTTAAAGAGTATTTTATAATGTCTAATGGAGCTGAACATTATTTTTTATGTTTAGATACATTTAAACTGATCAAATTTTATTTCAGAGAACAATAAAATTAAATTTTGTTTGATTAAACCCCTGCTAACATGGAAGTACCCAAGAATCATTTGAGGCAAATAACGCTTTATGAGTTCAAGAAATGAAAACTCAGCAGCCGAAGCGGCTAGAAACATTCACTCGGTTTATGGAGAGGAATGTGTGAATGAAAGAACTTTGCATGGTTTGCAAAATTCAGAGGTGGAGATTTCGTCCTTGAAGATGAAGATCGAACTGGACGCCCAGTTGAGTTTGATGAAAGGTTCTTGAAGCAGCCCTTGAAGAAAATCCTGCTTTATCAGTTGAGGAATTGGCAGTGGTTCTCAGTTCAAACCATACAACTGTTCATCGTCATCTTCAACAACTTGGAAAAGTTCCTAAACTTGGAAAAGGGGTGTCTCATGAATTGTCTGAAAACAACCTCAAATCCCGAGTTGACATCTGCTCTTCTCTCCATTCTCGCCAACTTGTTTCACCTTTTTTGGATAGACTTGTGACTGGCGACGAAAAATTGATCTTTTATTGAAATGTTAAGCGTCGTAGGCAGTGGCTTGGTAAAGGGGAAGGACCCAAGGCACAGCTGAGAATGGAACTTCATGGGCAAAAAGTTCTTCTTTCAATCTTGTGGGATCGCCAAGGAATAATCCACTTTGAATTCTTACCACCTAATGCAAAAATTAATGCTCAAATATACTGTCAGAAATTAGAGCATTTGAACCAAGCTTTAAGGGAAAAAAGACCTGCTCTAGTGAATCGAAAAGGGGTGATGTTTCATCAGGACAATGCGCGACCTCACACAGCAAGAATCACGTCACAAAAGATCAAAGAACTTGGTTGGGAGAAAATTCCTCATCCACCTTATTCTCCCGATCTTGCTCCTTCAGACTACCATTTTTTCGTAGCTTACAGAATCATTTGGAAGAAACAGCTTTTGTAACACAGGAAGAGGTCAAAACTGACATTTGTGAGTTCTTCGAATCAAAGCCAATATAATTTTACAGTAATGGAATTAGTAAGCTTTTTAATTGTTATACCTCACGTACCTATTCTATTATTAATAGACTCTCCCACACATAATAAGTAGTAGTAGCAGTGACCAGTTCGGCTCAGTGGTGTTGAGCGAGTCAGTCGATATCGGACATTGAAATACCAACCATCACAACTAGATTGCTGCGTCATTAACTCTTATTTCATGTTCCTAACGTTTTGTACGTCGAACCTAATTTAGGACGACTTATTGAAATACAAGCCTCCAATGTGAAAACTACCCTACAACATTAATAGATGGAAGGAAGTCATAGATAATCAGGGAAAATACATTGTTGATTGAATCTGTAATTAAATGTAACATTTGGTCACTTGTTTTCTTTATTCATAATTCAGACAGAACTTATGGGATGACTTGATACAATCTTATCTGATATCACTTATCAGTTATCTCCTGTTAATTCCCCTCTGCAAGTTCTCCACTGCCTTAACCAGGTATTGAAATCACACTCTTTGGGTCCTGTTACTGGATCTAACAAACGCCTTTATCCATTGTGCCATGTGTCCTCGAGAACAAATGGCACAGTTGATAAAGTCGTTGGCTAGATCCATTAATCATGGCACGTGGAACTAGAACAGTCTACCCCAGTGAGCGAAATAGAGGGTTCAGTTCGATATTCAAAACCACCCGAAGAAGGCCGGGGCGTACAACGGCCGAATTTTTGTAATAAATACGGTGACAAAGATGAGGACGACAGTCCGAACAATGTAAATAGTGTACATATTACCTCATCTCAGAAATATTGACATATACATTTGTATCCGTTGAAATCAAATATAACCATGATAGTGCTCAAACATGTGTTCCAAATATATATATATATATATATATATATATATATATATATATATAAACACGATAGTTGACAACCTAGCATCTCAAGCACACCTACCTATTGACTCAAATATAAACACGATATAGGTCAACCTAGCATCTTATGTAAGTGTGTCGACTCAAATATAAAGATGGTAGAGGTCAAAGTAGTGTCTGAAATATGTCTATCAGTCGATTCAAAAAGAAACACAAATGTGGTCAACATAATGTCAAAAGTACCCTGGCAGCACAAGTGAAATCACCATATAGGTCAACCCAACATCTCACTTATGTCTACCTGTCGATTGCCATATAAATCATAATATATGAAAATTTGCTCAAATTAATTGAAACAAAACTAAAAAAAAAATAATTCCGTTATTATTTACTTTTTTTCGTATTTTGTCAATGAAACATGACCCAATGCAGACGTTAGTACTTCGTATGTCCATTCCACGAAGTCGTTCTTTGCAGATTGACGACAGATTCTCCATTGGGTTTAAATCAGGAGTGTTTCCGACCTAGTCGATAGCCAGTCGATAGTATGTTGATTTGCTCCCTAGTAAAGCTTGCCAGAGTGTTAGTGCAGCGTTATACTTTTCGTACACTTGCTTGGAGTAATGTCCATCGCAGACAAGGGCCATAGGACAAATAATCGTCAGTCAAGACAATAGTGTCAGGGCGTTATGAAAATCGGATGCAATCCCGGATGACGCAATATTTTTCAAGGCCAAAGAAATTGTGTCATACACCACGAAAATAGTTTCATATCACTGCACACCATTGTAAATGACCTAATATGAGGAAAAATAGAAATCGATTATAGTCTGTCACTCCAGTGGGTCTGAAACTGGCTGTATTGTAAAAGACAGGAAATTAAAGCGGTTGTTTCAATTAATTTACACAAGGTTGTAATTTAAGCTAGCATCATAAATATGTGTATCAGTCGATTCTAATATAAACACGAAATTGCTGAACCTAGCATCTCTAGTAAATCTATTTGTCGATACATGAAAATGATACCGGTAAATTGAGCTAGAGTCTCAAGTATGTCTGTGACTCGACACGATATCCCCCAACCAAGCTTCTGACGTATGTCTCAACACCATATGGGTCAATGTGTCTCCTGTATTTCTTTCACTCTACTCAAATATAAAGACGATAGACGTCAAACTAGTGTCTGGAGTATGTCTATCTGTCGGCTGACATATGCAAAAGCTTATGTCTATCTACTGTCACGGGAATAAACACGCGTTATGTCTACCTTTCTATTCAAATATAAATAAAGTGAAAACGGGTTAGGGTTATTAAATAATTTAACCT